TGATAGATCTATATACTTCTATATACTGTAAATTCATATACTTAGAAGGCAACAATACCTGGACAGCTAAATCGCAGTCAATTGAACAGGTAGATTGCAGGCGGCAGTGGATTGCTTACTTCTAACAGATAGCCCGCTGCTCTTCAGAATCCGTTCAGATATTTGTTGGGCTGTCATAAGGTACTGATCACATTGGAGTGACATTGGGATGTAGTGCTTGGAGCACTGTGGGGGGAAATCCGCATGTGATGGTGGACGCCCAAGTAGACAGTAGATATGTCTACAAACTATGCTGGAACTTTGGAAAAAACCACAAGAACAGGTGAAAACCGCGCCTTGGTCAAATATAGATTCTGTAATGGTAACAGTTCTGGTGTGTTGAAAGTCAGTGAGTCACTATTGAATGATGGCTGACACACAGCATGGAATCCATACCTTGTCCTTGGAACCGCTGGGTGCCAGCTAGTGAATCTTGTTGCAGAAGCTCTAATCAAGTTTTCCCTAACATAAAATATCTGTTCCTTGGAATTAGAGAGGCCAGGATAGTAGATGTAGCAGTTGAACCCTAGGCAATGCTGTTCAACAGCCAGTGATGCTTTGCTCTTGATAATATGCATAGTCAATTCTTCGAGATTTGCATCCTGGACACTGGTGTTGGTCTGCTGGGACCGTGTTGACGTGGACACTGAACACTTGATACTAGGCTATGTCCCGCTGTGCCAATTTCAAGGCTGAAACATGAATCTTGTTGCTTGGTTTTGGACCTCAATTGAGACGCTTGATCGGAGAATTATCGGATTCAACAAAACAGTTGTCGGCTCTGTCCCCATTTGGCACAGCCATGTAATGTCTGAAGGACAGGTACTCCATGGACTTGTTGAAAAAGGTGGCAAGACATTTCCGTGTGAACCTGATGAGATCCTTGGTGACGTTGCCTTCCTTGTCCATATTGTCCACAAATGTAAGAAGGACATTCCAGGAGTCCTTTTCTTCTTTGGCAGATTCTATGGAAGAGGTGAATGAATAACACCAATCCCTATTTGTGTTTGCAAATTGAAGGTCAACTTCTGTCTTTTGTTGGAGCTCTGATTGAGTAATTCTGATTAACCTGCGGAAAGATACGATTAGTCAGTGATGGTCAAACGCTATTTAAAAAGAAACAATTGAGTTACCTTGTGCCATTTACAGAGCCGGATCTGGGCATATGGGTAGTACACTTTTATAATGGCATTAAATGCAGCCATGCACTGAAGGTCTTTGTCAGTCATCATGAGACGCAACTTTGCAACATTCTCTTTTTCAAAAAGAGTAGGCATGGCATCATCAAAGAGCCAATGGAACACCCAATCGCAAAGAGAGGGAAGATAGGCCGTCATGAGGGGGATGTTTTCGTTGGATGCAGTCCGGCCCACTAAACGGAAGAGGGGGCGTTTCTCTGCATTGGTTCCATGGGTCACGTCCATCCCAAGGCATTCTGGGAACATCTCGAAAAATCTATCTTTCGAATGTTAGACACTGGTAGGTGTGTTAAGCTGAATTGACATGATGCTGTTCTTACCTCCGTTGTTTCTTACTAACAAATGAAACTGCAATCAATGCTTCCCTACCTGTGTCAAGAGTCAAACTTTCAACAAGAGCTTGAAGGCGTTGAGTATGATATTTGGCAGGGTCGATAAGACCATCTTTTGTTTTTGTCTTCTTTCTTAGCCGAAGCCTGTGCATACTGTCATCAAGTGTGGCAGTGTAAATCACAAAATCGAGATCTGGATGAAGACGAAACCAGTCAAGAAGCATTTGTCCAGGTGTGTTGTGTTCACCATGGGGGTTGAAGGGACTAAATATACCCCCAAGGCCATTATGCAGAGATTCTTCCAGAATCCGTGTAAAGGCTTTAGTCAGGAGATTGACATGAGTCAAGGTCTGTGCCAATGCCCGGACATGGGTGGTAGGTGTCCCATGATTGAGCATATTGGATGCTGTTTCCAGCACCTGAAGAGGGAGATCATGAGGGGACTTTCTGATTTGGTGCAGGCCCTTGTGGTGGTTGGCGTGCAGAAAGTTGTGGCCTGCATCCAATCGAAGATACCAGCACTTTGTGTGGTGATGAAAATGAACAATGATTTGGAAACGGCAGAGGTCTCCAATATCATGAACATGAGCTGTTGTTGAATCACGCTGGGGCTTGCCATCCTAAAAAGGAGCAAATGGAGAAGAAAAGGATTGAAGAGGATAGAAGGAGGCAATGGAGGAGAATAGAGTTAGGGTTTAGTTCTTTATGAAAGGGTAACATCCAGATAGTATGCAGGCGCACTTGTTGGGATATGACGAAATATGAGTTTTTACGTTCCAAAATGAAACTATTCAAGTACGAGGTTTTCGACACGTGCGATCGGAATTTGATCGTGCAAGATGTCGGGATTCGACGCAAGTATGCCGG